TCAAAGAAAAACCAGAAAGTCCAGTTGCCTCTTGAAAAAAAAAAAAGCACCTTTGGGATATAATACAATAGCAGAGTTGGAAGGGACCTTGGAGGTCTTCTAGTCCAACCCCCTGCCTAGGCAGGAAACCCTATACCGTTTCAGACAAATGGCTATCCAACATTTTCTTAAAGACTTGCAGTGTTCACAACTTCTGGAGGCAAGTTGTTCCACTGATTAATTGTTCTAACTGTCAGGAAATTTCTCCTCAGCTCTAAGTTGCTTCTTTCCTTGATTAGTTTCCACCCATTGCTTCTTGTTCTACCCTCAGGTGCCTTGGAGAATAATTTGACTCCCTTTTCTCTGTGGCAACCCCTGAGATATTGGAACACTGCTATCATGTCTCCCCTAGTCCTTTTTTTCATTAAACTGGAGTCTTCTTGCAGCTTAACAACTAGCATAAATTTAAAGGAGTCAAAATCTTTTTAAGTGGACTCATGTCATGAGTCAAGAGACTCACAATCTTGAGAAAGGAATTTATATGCACCATGGGTCTGAGTGGGGAAACAAAGTCTGCCTAGAGCAATCAATACAAACAGCATTGCACATTGCCAGTGCTGAAGAAGGCGTCAGTATCAGTTCAAATGGCTTTTGCACAAGCAGTGAAGGACACAACAGCTGGCTCTTACTCTTATTTGGGCCCATGAAATTAAAGAGAAATAAAATGTAGGAGCTGGAGGCATGGATAGTGATTTCAAGAAGCTAGTGTCATTAAAAAAATATGCTTCGTGGTGCCCAAATATTTTTTACAACTGACTAATATCTCATTCCCACTGGAAAATGAAATTCTTCCTTGCTGGAGCAGGATTTGTTAGCAAAACGCCCCTCTCTGTTCTGAACATAATGTTCATTAACTACAGAAGACATGATTGATGCCTGTGTAAACTTTTCTTGAAATCATCTAAAAATGCGAACTACATGATACTCCAAGGATACTTTTTTCCATTGCTTTAAATTAGATTTAAGTTAGAGAATTTTCCCCTAGCCTCTTGTAATTTAAATCCAAAACAGACTGATATATGAAGCTACATCTGAACTCCTGAGCATAAATGTTTCATTTTTTCATCCTTTTCTTAACAGTTCAAAGTGTTTTGTACCTAGGCATAGAAAACATGTGAGATGCTTGATCAAAAACTCCACTGAAATAGTAAATATTGACTTGTATAATATTAATTTATATCCCATTATTTCTCTGGGAATTCAGTGGGTGTCATGGAAGTTTCTCTTCATTATATTCCTGAGAATTAGGTTGAACTAAGTTTATTCTCATCCAGTTAGCGCTATCTCTATGTGAGTTTCAACCAAAATTTGCTTAATTACTATTCCCCTGTCTCTTACAGGTTGCAAATTCTTGAGTTCCTTCAGTAACCCTTGCAATGTGTCCAGATTACCTTTGAAAATTTTGTAATTACATTAATCTGATACACAGTATTTCATTGCATGTGAAATAATAGCACAAGGCCTTTTTATTTGCACATGTCCTGAAACAACCCACCCATCCTAGTGCCAACTGCTTGCAGTTAAACTAAAATTCTGGAATGCCTATAGTTAAGGATTTCTGGGATTTAACATCCCAATAAAGTGAAGCCTACCAGGTTAGGAAACACCAGGAAATAATAGGCATTTTTCTATAGTATTTCTGCCTTCTGATTTTAGGACATTTTGATCTGAGAGTTGGATCAACAAAGAACAAACATTAGCAGATGACACAATCTGCCAAGCTTGGATAATTTTGGAAGTGAAGCAAAGTCAGCTTTGGTTAGTATTGGAAGGATGACCAACTGGGAATACCAGGGCTATTGTCTAGATTGGGGAAAGGAGGCCCTTTGAGTCATTTTTCCCCATTCCTGGCAACTGACTGTACTAGTCCCTGCAGTTTTCCTGACAAGGTTTTACAGAAGTTTGCCATTGTTGACTTCCTAGGTCTGAGAGAAATTAACTGGTCTGAAGTCATCAGGCTGGCTTTTGTGCCTAAAATAAAACTAGAACTCAAGAGTCCCCTATTTTTAGCATGATGCTAAACTACACCAAACTGGCTCTCCATTGACTAGACTGGGAAGTTGAAAAACATTAGTGTGGAAAAAAAAACCAATAGCAAACTCTGCTGTATTGTTCGTAAAGACATTAGTTGGAGGCAGTCACAATGAGATCAAGGGGAATTTTAATCATGGGAAGAAAAAAGGAAAGGAGAGGAGAGGAAAGAAGAAAAGAGGAGAAAAGAAAAAAAGAAAACAAGGAAGAAAAAAGGAAAAGTTTTATTAAAGGTGATGGGACACTTTGTCCAACTACTCAGATTATATCTATGAACTAGTTCTCTTCTACAAGCTTAGAGTGACAAATTATGGTGGCATGGATAAAGTTTTTCATGTAAGAAATGCACACAGAACAAAAGTCAATCTCTTCACGGATTCAATCTAGTGGTGGTATCAGCTGCATATGAACAATGAGTACAAAAGTAGTAGCTACCAGTATCTTTGAGTGAGGGGCTCAAAATTTTGGAAACTAGGCTGAATTCCCTCAGCTGTAGATTTGGCTCCTTGTTATGAGTAATAATAGAACAAGTCCTTAGCTATATCCAAACAAGGGAAGTATGAAATTATTGGTATTTTTCAAAGGAGCCATACAAAATAATAATTGCAAAAGAACATGAAAACTGGGCTGAAGACCAGACCAAGCCTATTGCTGTACTGTCTTGAAAAATGAGGACTATTCCTAAGGTCACATTATTGCCCGAGGTCCCCAACAATT